AAAGGTTCATCCTCAGAGAGCAGAAGGAGTCAGCGGGAGAATCAGTAGCACTCATGCTTTGCTTTACACTGTGAGGTTACGGGAACTCTTGAAAAATCTCTTCCAGTCTTCCATGAGCTGTGGGTTGCTGAGCAGGAACACCCTTCACCTTAGCTAGGGGTGGCTCTTTCAGGCTTTCTTTGAGCAAGGTCATTCTTAGGTCTCTGGCCCTCAGAAAACTCCAGTTATGACACAACATTCCCTTTACCTATTTCTTTTTCTTTTTTTTTTTTTGAGACGGAGTTTCGCTCTTGTTACCCAGGCTGGAGTGCAATGGCGCGAGCTCGGCTCACCGCAACCTACGCCTCCTGGGTTCAGGCAATTCTCCTGCCTCAGCCTCCTGAGTAGCTGGGATTACAGGCACGCGCCACCATGCCCAGCTAATTTTTTTGTATTTTTAGTAGAGACAGGGTTTCACCATGTTGACCAGGATGGTCTCTATCCCTTGACCTCGTGATCCAACCGCCTTGGCCTCCCAAAGTGCTGGGATTACAGGCGTGAGCCACCGTGCTCGGCCTGCTTATTTCTTTTTCTTCTTCTTTTTTTTTTTTTAGACAGAGTCTGGCTGTCGCCCATGCTGTAGTGCAGTGGCGTAATCTTGGCTCGCTACAACCTCTGCCTCCCTGGTTCAGGCAATTCTCCTGCCTCAGCCTCCCGAGTAGCTGGGATTGCAGGCTTGTGCTACCATGCTCATCTTATTTTTGTCTTTTTAGTAGAGAAGGAGTTTTACCATGTTGGCCAGGCTAGTCTCGAACTCCTGACTTCAAGTGACCCACCTGCCTCAGCCTCCCAAAGTGCTGGGATTACAGGCGTGAGCCACCGTGCCCGGCCCCCTTTACCTACTTCTGAAATCATAGCTAAACTTCTGAGAGGGTCCTCCTGAAAGCCTTCACTTCATGGGAGTCTTGTGGGCGTCTCCTGCCCCCTGAGGTGGGAGAGGGGAGGACGAGGGCCTGTCACCTGTAGAAACTCTTCTCCAAATGCCTCCTTCTCTTCCTTCCAGCCTGCTTTTTGTTTTTGTTTTAAAATCTCATCTGCTTTTATAAAGAACATCCACTTCTTCTGGAAAACAAAACCCGCTTGTTTCCATGGACAGTTGGTGTGGAGGCAAAAGTGACTCCATCTTGGCTGTTTTTTTCTCTTTTTTTGAGATGGAGTCTTGCTCTGTTGCCCAGGCTGGAGTGCAGTGGCACGATCTCAGCTCCCTGCAACCTCCACCTCCCAGGTTCAAGCAATTCTCCTCAGCCTCCTGAGTAGCTGGAATTACAGGTGCCTGCCACCACGAATGGCTGATTTTTTTTTTGTATTTGTAGTAGAGATGGAGTTTCGCCATCTTGGCCAGGCTCTGGCATTTCACCAGTTAGCATTTTAAGAAAAAAAGTCAGCCTGTAAGCAAAAAGTATAGAAAGAGCTGAATAAAATTTTCTTTTCTAATAATGAAAAGGGCTATGTTGAGATGTTCCTCTACATGTATTGTTTTGGATTATCTCCTCACTTTCTATGGTAATTCCTGACATAGCAGTAGGAAATAAATCCTCTGAGAACTGGAGTATCTGACAGTTCTCTAGCCTACCCTCTCATGCCACTGATGGTTTGACTCTACAATTCTAGGTTGAAAAAAATTTTCCTTGGAAGTTTGAAGACATCATCCTGTTGTCTCTTTGTGTTCAGTGTAACAGCTGAAAAGTGAAATCCATTCTGATTCTTGTTTCTTTGTAGGTGATTTACCCCCACCCCTGGCGGTTTTTAGAATTTTCTCTTTATCTGTGGCATTCTGAAATTTCATGGTGGCATACTTTGGGTCATTTTTGAATGAATGAGCTCAGCTGGGCTATTACTAGAATACCTAAATCTGGAGACCTATTCTTTTTTTTTTTTTTTTTTTTTTTTTTTTTGAAGTGGAGTCCTACTCTGTTGCCAGGCTGGAACGCAGTGGCGTGATCTTGGCCCACTGCAACCTCCAACTCCCAGGTTCAAGCAATTCTCCTGCCTCAGCCTCATGAGTAGCTGGGATTATAGGCACCTGCCACCATGCCCAGCTAAAGTTTGTATTTTTTGTAGACAAAGGGTTTCACCATGTTGGTCAGGCTGGTCTTGATCTCCTGACCTCGTGATGCCCCCTGCCTTGGCTTCCCAAAGTGCTGGCATTACAGGTGTGAGCCACTGTGCCTGGCTGAGACCTATCCGTTTTAATTCTAAGTAACATCCTTGTATTATTTCTTTGATAATTTTTCTCCCTTTTCTTCCTCTTATTTATCTTCTAGAACTCCTATTAGTTCAATATTCATTCTTTGAACTTATTGTTTGTGTTATTTCGGAGGTTTTATGGGGCTAGTAGAAAAAGAACCCTTGTTTTTCCTCTTACGTTTGAAATCCATTGAGAATCAAGACACAGTAGAGAGATTAGTGGCTATCAAGATGTTGGCATAATTGCTGATAAGCAACGAGGAGGATTTGACTTAAAATATTAGATCAGAATACCTCGAGTTAAGCAGATGCTTCCACCCAGTCACAGGCAGAGTTTGGCAAAGCAGGAGCAGCTCTATGTTGCAGGCAGAGAGTAGAATACAAGGTGTGCTCCTTGTGGGCAAAAGATAGTAAAGGGAGCCCCCAAGGGGTGGAGCCAAGCATGCCAATCAGTCAGTCTCCGCCCCTGAGGAGGAGTGGGTTAAGAAGGGGAGTCTGTGCTGCGTGTGGTGGCTGATGCCTGTAATCCCAGGACTTTGGGAGGCGGAGGCGGGCAAATCACCTGAGGTCGGGAGTTTGAGACCAGCCTGGCCAACATGGGGAAACCCCCATCTCTACTAAAAGTACAAAAATTAGCTGGGTGTGTGGAGTGTGCCTGTAACTCGGGAGACTGAGGCAGGGGAATCACTTGAACTCAGGAGGCGGAGGTTGCAGTGAGCCGAGATTGCACCATTGCACTCCAGCCTGGGCAGCAAGAGGGAAACTTGGTCTCCAAAAAAAAAAAAAGAAGGTTGGGGGGAGTCGAGATTGTGTAGAGTTTCCCTAGTGGGAAATATATTCCATAGCCTGAGACCAGATAAAAAATAATTTCTTCCAATTTAACTGTTTTATCATTAAAAAAAAAAAAAAAACCTATGTCTTTTTTTTTTTTTTCCTGGAAGATTTTCTAAATTTTATGTTTCATAGCATCTATTCATTTTTTGGAGTTAACAATATATATACTTTTAATTTTCAAAAGGTCTCGTTTTCTGAACAAGTCGAACATACAGGAAATTCTGGCTTATTGGCTTATCAACAAAGTGAATTCAGGGAAGCCCACAGAAAAACGGGGAAAGGATATGAAAAGGTCATTTATGCAAGAGGAAACCCAAATGATGAATACATCGATGAAGAAATGTTCAAACCCACTGTTAGCCAGAAATGCAAAATAAAAGAACAAGGATACGGCATCAGCTTGGCAACAACTGGGATGCTGGCGGGAGCGCGGTCTGGCAGCCCGCGGTGGAATTAGGTATGATCATACTCTGTGACCGAGCAATGTCACTCTCCGTTCCCTCCCTCCCTCCCTCCCTTCTCTTCTTTTCTTTCTCTTTCTCTCCCTCTTTCCTTTCTCTCTTTCTTTTTTCTTCTCTCCCTTCTGTTCCTTTCTTTCTCTCTTTCTCTCCCTTTTCTCTTCCTTTTTGGGTCCTGCTGTTGCCCAGGCTGGAATGCTGTTGTGTGATCATAGTTCCCTGTGGCCTTGCACTCCTGGCCTCAGGTGATCCTCCCAACTGCAGCTTCCCAAGGTGTTGGGATTACAGGCATGAGCCACCACACCTGACCTGGATACGGTTTCCAGAGAAATTCTCACCTAGCTGCACATGGGAACACGTGAGGACGTTAGTCATAGCGTTAATTGCGGTAGTGTTTGCAACAACCCAGATTCATTATTAGGGGAAATAAACTATGATCGATACACACCCCTATTTCTCCCTCTCTTTTTTTTTTGAGATGGAGTTTTTGCTCTTGTCTCCTAGGCTGGAGTGCAATTGCATGATCTTGGCTCACTGCAACCTCCACCTCCCGGATTCAAGTGATTCTCCTGTGTCCGCCTCCCACTAGCTGGGACTATAGGCGCCTGCCACCACGCCCCGCTAATTTTTGTATTTTTGGTAGAGACGGGTTTTCACCATATTGGCCAGGCTGGTCTCGACCTCCTGACTCCAGGTGATCTGCCTGCCTCGGCCCTATAAAGTGCTGGGATTACAGGAGTGAGCTACTGTGCCCGGCCTATTTTCCCCTCTTGACTCCATTTTGCTTTGCCAATTTCTCTACCCACCTGGGCCTCCACCCAGAGCAAGTTGCCTCAACTCTCCGAGGCTCCACTTCCTCCTCCATGAAATGGGAATAATAAAAGTCCCTGTCTCATCGGGGCGTGTGGTACATGAGAAAACGCCGTGCGGAATTTAGGGCAGTGGCCGGGCCTGAGGACAGTGTTTGTGTTGCCTGGGCCGGGGCAGGGTCTGGGCCGACGGGGCTTTCTGAAGTTGGATTCCTCCTGCTGCAGGGAGAACTGTTTGCCTGCAAAGCCCTTTCCTCCTCCTGCCGCAGCCTCTGGATTTGAGGGACTTTACTCCCCAGGAGAGTGAAGTGAGTTGGGTGTCTGGTGGCCGAGCCCACGGGAAGCTGGGGTCTGTGGCTCAGAGGCGGGGTTGGGCAAGAGCAGAGAACTGGTCCCTGTGATCCTGGTCAGGGATATCTGGAGACACCCACAATTCCGGGAAATTCAGAGGCAGGAAGTGAAAGGGGGAGGGAGAGAAGGGAAATAGAAAACTGTACCCCAGTTCCTCCTGACCTGTCACCCCTTCCAAACGGTGCAGTGAGTGAGGTGACTGGTGTGTGGAGGTGAGGAGGGCAGCCCAGGGGACCCCCTTCTCTGGGGATAAGAACAGAGGTGGCCCTGGCCCCTGCCCCCACTCTCCAGGTGAGTTACAGCTCTGTTTCCTCCTGTGTTTACCGTCCAAAGTCCCAGGCCGGGAGGTCCCAGGTTAGAGCTGGGACACCCAGACGTTCGGGCGCAGGCCTTGCCCTGACCAGCCCCTCCTCCATTCTCCCTCTCCTCCTTGAGTGCCACCTGCCCCAGTTCTCCTGGCTTTAACCCCTCCTTGCCCAAGGCCAGGGCTGCCTGTGGGAACCAGGTGTCCGTTCTCCACACCTTTAGCAGGTAACTGAGGCTGGGGAGGCAGCTGGGATGGGGGTGTTTGGGAACAAGGAAACCTCGGTTCAGGGACGGTGAGGACCCTGTGGGAAACTGCTGGGTGGTCTGGTCCATGAGTGTGTGGAGGGGTCTCCTGGGCAGGTCAAGGCCCAAGTGGTCTCCTGAGAAGGGACAGGAACCAGTGGGATTTCAAACCTCAGCCCAAACCCCCTGCCAACCTCAGATCCAACCCAGGCCACCCACCCAGCCCTCCATCCCAGCGTCAGCCTCCACGTGAATCTGCACCTCTGCCCCAGCCCCCAGAGCAACCCCAGCCCAGTCCAGCTCCAGCCCGGGCCCGTCATGGCCAAGGACTTTCAAGACATCCAGCAGCTGAGCTCGGAGGAAAATGACCAGCCGTTCCAGCGAGGTGAGGGGCCAGGCACTCGCGGGCCGAATCCCAGGAGAGTACATCCATTTTGGAAAGGCAAGTGTACAGTTTCCGTGGCGTTGCTCCACTCTGGCACGGCTCGTGGTGGCTCCGGCCCTTTGAGGTCTCTGCCGCATCCGCTCTGAACGGGGACTGAGGAGGGCCCAACACCCCTGCTTGCCCCCTGACCTCACCTTCCTTTCTACACCAGGACCCCAGGAAAGGTGTGTGCCCAGAGGCGGGGGGAGATCTGGAAGATAACCTTCTGCTCTTCCCCCAACCCAAGAACACATGTGCCCCGTGTGTGACTGTGCACATATGTGCAGATTCAGCTAGGACTCTGTGTGTGTGTATCTTGTGTGTGTGTTGTATGTTGTGTATGTTCTGTGAGTGTGTGTTGTGTGGGTGTATATCGTGTGCATGTTGTGTATGTTGTGTGTGATTTTGTGTGTGTGTGTGTGTGTGTGTGTAGAGGTGGGGTGAGTTGGGGTGGGTGGGGGAAATAGGCGCACAGAGATCCTAGAAGTTTCCTGCTCCCCCCGTCTCCCAAGAGCCCTTCTCTGGATCCTTCTCTAGTAATTCTCCACTGAAAGACCCAGGTGTCTTGGAAATGTTTTTTTAGATGGGAGTATTGTGGCAGGATCACAGCTCACCGCAGCCTCAAACTCCTGGGTTCAAGCCATCCTCCGACCTCAGCCTCCCAAGTAGCTAGGACTACAGGTGTGCACCACTGTGCCCAGCTAATTAAAATTTTTTGTAGAGATGGGGTCTTGCTGTGTTGCCCAGGCTGGTGGGAAAAGATTTGAAGGTGAGAAAGAGATCTGAGCAGTTCTAGGCAGAAGGCAAGAGCCAGGGATGGAGGAGTGTCAGATGTGTGGGTACGGGCGGCAGAGCCAGGTTCCATGGAGGCAGGAGGGGCAGGGGCTTGGAGCTTATGAAGGAGATTGGTTAGCTGGGCTGGGAGGAGGGACTCCTCATTCCTAAGGCTGGCCAACCAACTGAAGGAGGGCTGGTGCTGGGCCAGGCAGGGCAGGGCAGGGGACAGGAGGGATAGGTGGTCCCGGGACCGCTCGGGAACACCAGCAGCATCTCCTCTCCCTGCAGTGGGCTGGCAGGCCTTCCCACCAGCGGGGGCCCCGTCAGCCTCACTCTCCTCCGCAACTCCAGCGTCCACACGGTGCCCAGTACATAGTGAACACTCAGAAAGGATGTTGGATGCTGCTGAATCTTCTGAGGGTGAGAGAATGTCGAGTTCGAGCAGGAGGCTTGGAGAGAGGCCACGATTCCTGAAATTAATGGGAGAGCCAGCTCACTCTGATGGACTGAGGGACGCCAGTGAGGGCCCGTCTGAAGGGCTGTGGCCAAGTCCCTGCGTTTCTCTCCAGCAGCCTGGGTGGCGGGGGCTGGGGGAATGTCATCATGTGAGCTGAAAAAGGCGAAGGGTTGTGGGAGTCGCTTACAGGGGCAGTGTCTGACTCAGGACAGTGACCTGGGGAGGAAGATTCTGGGCCCCTGACTCAGTCTCCCCAGTATGTGGTGGTGCTGGGCGGGGTGATAGAAATGAGAAGACAGGGGACAGGACACAGTCAGTGTCCGAGGCCAAGAAGAGCAGGTGTTCTGTTTGCAGGCGGCTGCTGCAGACAGGAGCTCAGGGCTGGGGCACTGGCGTTGAACTGGAGGCAGCAGGGGGGGAGCCCAGCGCTGTGTGCAGGAGCACGTGTGCCGAGTGTACGTGTGTGAGTGTGTCAGGAGGTGTGTGCATGTGTGTGGGAGGGTGTACGCATGTGTGTATTAGCATATGTGTGCACATGTGAGTGTGTACAACAGAACCTGTGTTCATGTGTGTGCAAATGTGTGTTTTTGAGTGAAGCAAGAATGTGTGTCTGAGGGTATGTGAATGTGTATGTGAGTCTGAGGGTATGTGTATGTATGTATGTGTATGTGTGAGTTTGTGAGGGTATGTGTGTGTGTGTTTGTGAGGGTATGTGTGTATGTGAGTTTGTGAGGATATGTGTGTGTGTGAGTGTGAGGGTGTGTGTGAGGGCATGTGAGTGTGAGTTTGTGAGGGTGTGTGTGTGTGTGTGAGGGCATGTGAGTTTGTGAGGGTGTGTGTGTGTTTGTGAGGGTGTCTGTGAGTTTGTGAGGGTATGTGTGTGTGAGTTTGTGAGGGTGTGTGTGTGTGTTTGTGAGGGTGTGTGTGTGTGTGAGGGCATGTGTGTGAGTTTGTGAGGGTGTGTGTGTGTTTGTGAGGGGTGTGTGTGAGTTTGTGAAGGTATGTGTGTGTGTTTGTGAGGGCATGTGAGTGTGAGTTTGTGAGGGTGTGTGTGTGTGAGGGCATGTGAGTGTGTGAGTTTGTGAGGGTGTGTGTGTGAGGTTACGTGTGTGTGAGTTTGTGAGCGTGTGTGTGTGAGTTTGTGAGGGTATGTGCGTGTGTGAGTTTGTGAGGATATGTGTGTATGTGAGTTTGTGAGGATATGTGTGTGTGAGTTTGTGAGGGTATGTGTGTATGCGAGTTTGTGAGGATATGTGTGTGTGTGAGTTTGTGAGGGTATGTGTGTTTGTGAGGGCATGTGAGTGTGTGTGAGTTTGTGAGGGTGTGTGTGAGGGTATGTGTGTGAGTTTGTGAGGGTATGTGTGTGTGTGTTTGTGAGGGTATGTGTGTGTGTTAGTTTGTGAGGGTATGTGTGTGTGTGAGTTTGTGAGGGTATGTGTGTGTGTGTGTGAGGGCATGTGAGTGTGTGTGAGTTTGTGAGGGTGTGTGTGTGTTTGTGAGGGTATGTGTGTGTGTGAGTTTGTGAGGGTATGCGTGTATGCGAGTTTGTGAGGATATGTGTGTGTGTGAGTTTGTGAGGGTATGTGTGTGTGTGTGAGGGCATGTGTGTGTGAGTTTGTGAGGGTGTGTGTGTGTTTGTGAGGATATGTGTGTGTGTGAGTTTGTGAGGGTATGTGTATGTGTGTGAGGGCATGTGAGTGTGTGTGAGTTTGTGAGAGCGAGTGTGTGTGGGTTTGTGAATGTGTGTGAGCTTGTGAGGGTATGTGAATGTGTGGGTGAGTGCTTTCAGGGTGTGGATGGATCAAGGCGCGGGCGCGGTACCTGAGAGGTGGCCTGTGGCTGAGGGGAGCAAATTCAGAGTGGACTGAGGTCTCTGGGGGATGAGGGCCGAGGCCCCTGGGGAGGAGGCCTTGAGTGGTGGGATGAAGACAGCAGGTGGGCCTGGAGGGCTGTCCTTGGAGAGTGGGCTATGGCAGAATGACCAGACTTAAGGATCTCAATGGAATTTGGGGAGGGGAGGGATTGTTCCAGTATGGATTTTAGTAAGAACACAGGACCCAGCTTCTGGAGTCTCCAATCTGAGGGGACAGGGGCCTTAGAAGAGCTGAGACTAAGGCCCAAGGTGATCTGGAGGCCTCTGCCACCGGCTGGCTGGGAGGAAGAGCATTCACAGATCCCCTTCTCTGGCTATGTGCCTACGCAGGGATGGGTCTGTCCCAGCCCCCTCTGCGTCTTCCAGTGCCCCAGCTCCAGGATCGGGGCTTTGCACACAGCTGATGTGAATGTCCTGTGTCATGAATGTCCTGTGTCATGAGCATGGGTGTGTGCACCCGGGTAGCTGCGTGTGTATGTCTGAACATGGCAATATGGGTGCGAGGGTGTAAGTGTGTGTGTGTGTGTGTGTGCGCGCGTGCAATACTCAAATGCTGGGGTCAAGGCCTGTGATGACTCCCCCATGGCCCCAACCAATCTCCCCACCCAGGTTATGCCTCCTCAGGCTTCGGGGCCCTGCCTTTACCCTCTGACTCCCGGCGCCCTGGCTGCCAGCTCCTGATGCCCCTCTCTCACAGGGCCACCTCCTGCCCAGCTCCTGCCACAGCGTCTCTGCTCCACAGTCCGCTTCAGTCTGCTTGCCCTGGGCTCCAACATCCTGCTGCTGGTGGTGATCTGCGTGGTTGGGTCCCAAAGTGAGGGTCACAGGGACCAGCAGGGATGGGCAAGGAGTGGGGGAAGAGACACGGGCAGTGGTGGGCAGTGATGGGGGTGATGGGAGGGGAAGGGATGGGGGTGGGGCGAATGTGGGGGCCGTGAGGGGCTGGTCACATGGACAGTGATGGGGACACAGCCCCTCTCCCTCGTCCTGCCCCCGCTGCCACCTGACAAGGTGCACGGCTGCAAGCAGAGCTGCGGACCCTGGAGGAAGCTTTCAGCAACTTTTCCTCAAGCACCCTGATGGAGATCTATGCTCTAGGCAGCCACGGTGAGGGGCTGGATGGCCGCGCTCTCGTTTATCCGCACAGGGTTTGCTGGGTTCAGTGCGGAGTCTGCGTCAGGGCTGCGTTGGGCGCTGTTGGGTGCAGGCTGGGCAGGGCGTCCAGGTGCCCTGGAGGATGTAGAAGAGGGAGGCCGGTGGGGACGGAGGAGGTTGGTGCCAGGTGGAGAGGTTGGATCTGCAACATCTGGAGGCCAGGAAGGCACCACGTCTTGGGTCTGTGAGCAGATGGAGTGTGGCAGGAGCCCATCGGAGGGACAGGCAGATAAGCGGTGTCCAGAGAGGTGACAGAGCGAGGCTTTATTTTGAGAAAATGGGAACCCATTGAAGGAATTTAGGCAGGAGAGTGGCCTGAGCCGCTGTGGCAGTGCAGGGAGCTTGGGCGGGGTGGTGGAGGCCAGGAGGTGGATGCCCGCAACGCCCAGGATGAGGTGCTGGCCCCCTGGTGCCCCAGGAGCATGAGGACGGACGGAGGCTGAGCAGGGAAACAGTTGGCTTTCCACTTTCAGGAGGCAGCGTGGGTGACAAGATAACATCTCTGGGAGCCAAGCTGGAGAAACAGAAGCAGGACCTGAAAGCAGGTCAGAGAGCCCACGGTGTGTGTGTGCATGTGCGTGCGTATGTGCGGTGTGTGTGTGCATGTGCGTGCGTGTGTGCGGTGCGTGTGCATGTGCGTGCGTGTGTGCGGTGTGTGTGTGCATGTGCGTGCGTGTGTGCGGTGTGTGTGTGCATGTGCGTGCGTGTGTGCGTGTGCGGTGTGTGTGCATGTGCGTGTGTGTGTGTGTGTGCGGTGTGTGTGTAGTGTGTGCGTGTCTGTGTCTCTGTACGTGTGGGGTGGTGTGCCATGGATGCATGCGTAGTGTGTATATGTGTGTGTTATGTGTGCATGTGTGGTGTTGTGTGATGGGTCCATGTGTGTGTGTGTTTGCATGTGATGTGTGTGGTGCATCTCTTGGTGTGTTTGTGTGTGTGATGGATCTGTGTGTGTGTGGTATTTGTGTGTGTGATGGGTCTGTGTGGTGTGGTATCTGTAGTGTGTACGGTGTGTGTGGTTTGATGTATGTGGTGTATGTGTGTGTGTGGTGTGTCTCTATGTGGGGGGTATGCATATGTGTGTGGTGGGTGTATGTGTTGGTATGATGTGTCTGTGTGTGCATGTGGGGTGGTGTGGGGTGGTGTATATGTGTGTGTGTGTGTATGTGGTCTGGGTGGCCTAAATGTGTGTGTGATGGGTCTGTGTGATCTGTGTGATATATGTATCTGGTGTGTGTTTGTGTGGTATGGTGTGTGTGTGTGGTGTGATCTAGGCATTGCATATGTGTCTTTGTGGTATGTGGTGTGGTCTGGGCATGGTATATGTGTCTGTGTGGTGTGTGGTGTGGTGTGGTGCGGTGTGGCCTAGGCATGGTAGAGTCTGTGTGGTGTGTGGTGTGTGTGGTGTGTGGTGTGGTGTGGTCTAGGCATGGTAGATTCTGTGTGGTGTGTGGTGTGCTCTAGGCATGGTAGAGTCTGTGTGGCATGTGGTATGTGGTGTGTGTGGTGTGTGGTGTGGTCTAGGCATGGTAGAGTCTGGTGTGTGGTGTGTGGTGTGTGTGGTGTGTGTGGTGTGATGTGTTCTAGGCATGGTAGAGTCTGGTGTGTGGTGTGTGGTGTGTGTGGTGTGTGTGGTGTGTGTGGTCTAGGCATGGTAGAGTCTGTGTGGTGTGTGGTATGTGTGGTGTGTGGTGTGGTCTAGGCATGGTAGAGTCTGTGTGGTGTGTGGTATGTGTGGTGTGTGGTGTGGTCTATGCATGGTAGAGTCTGTGGTGTGTGGTGTGTGGTGTGTGTGGTGTGGTCTAGGCATGATAGAGTCTGTGTGGTGTGTGGTGTGTGTGGTGTGTGGTGTGGTCTATGCATGGTAGAGTCTGTGGTGCGTGGTGTGTGGTGTGCGGTGTGTGTGTGGTGTGTGGTGTGGTCTATGCATGGTAGAGTCTGGTGCGTGGTGTGTGGTGTGTGTGTGGTGTGGTCTATGCATGGTAGAGTCTGGTGCGTGGTGTGTGGTGTGTGGTGTGTGTGGTGTGGTGTGGTGTGGTCTATGCATGGCAGAGTCTGTGGGGTGGATGTGCTTCCCCAGCCACAGGCTGGAGCCGGGCAGGAGGGGACTTTCCCCCGTCTGTCTTAGATCACGACTCCCTGCTCCTGCATCTGAAGCACTTCCCCATGGACCTGCGCTTCCTGACCTGCCAGATGGAGCTCCTCCATAGCAACGGTAGGGGTGGGGCATCTGCAGTCCCAGGGTGCGCCCCTCTGGCTGGATCTCACCCCCCTGCCCCGTGACCCCTCAGGCTCCCAAAGGACCTGCTGCCCCGTCAACTGGGTGGAGCACCAAGCCAGCTGCTACTGGTTCTCTCACTCCGGGAAGGCCTGGGCCGAGGCGGAGAAGTACTGCCAGCTGGAGAACGCGCACCTGGCGGTCATCAACTCCTGGGAGGAGCAGGTGAGGCCACGCTTCCCGAAGGCAGGCCGCCCTTGGAAGGCAGGCTGTGGGAGGCCGGATCACGCTTATTTTATCCTTTTAACCTAAAAAGAGAGTCCAGAAGCAGAATTGTAGTGGAGCTCTGGGAGGTTCAGTCAAACAACCATTGATTCTTTTTTTTTTTTTTTTTCGGAAACAGAGTTTCACTCTTGTTGCCCAGGCTGGAGTGCAATGGTACGATCTCGGCTCACCGCAACCTCTACCTCCTGGGTTCAAGCAATTCTCCTGCCTCAGCCTCCTGACTAGCTGGGACTACAGGCTCATGCCACCACGCCTGGCTAACTTTTTGTATTTTTAGTAGAGACGAGATTTCCTCATGTAAGCCAGGATGGTTTCAATCTTCTGACTTCATAATCCGCCCACCTCGGCCTCCCAAAGTGCTGGGATTACAGGCGTGAGCCCCCGCGCCTGGACTCTTTTTTGTTTTTGTTTTTTTAAATATGTTCAGCTTTCTGATTTAAGGCAGCCACTGATTCTAAGAGGTGGGAGGTTGTAGCCTGGAGCTTGGCAAAGAGACAGGAGCCAGGCAACCAGGTGACACGAAGCAGGTCAGGAGACGGGGTATGGGACAGGATGAGCAAAGGGGCCAGGACAGGCCGGAGAACACAGGGAAGGCGCCGACGGTCCCTTCTTGCTGTGCTGGCCTTCGAGTGCTGGTCACTTGGATCAAGGGAACCGAGCAGGGAGGAGCCCAGTGACTCACCTGCAGAGGGTTACTGGTTCCCTCCAAGGTGCTCTGTCTCCACTTCCCATGGCCACTGCCAGACAGCAAAGTTTACGGAGAAGAATCAACGCATTAGAATAGATGGGACAGCTTTGGAAAAGGAGGGTAGGCCGGGCGCGGTGGCTCAAGCCTGTAATCCCAGCACTTTGGGAGGCCGAGGTGGGTGGATCACGAGGTCAGGAGATCGAGACTATCCTGGTCAACATGGTGAAACCCTGTCTCTACTAAAGAAAATAAAAAAAAAAAAAATTAGCTGGGCGTGGTGGCGCGTGCCTGTAATCCCAGCTACTCAGGAGGCTGAGGCAGGAGAATTGCCTGAACCCAGGAGGCGGAGGTTGTGGTGAGCCGAGATGGCGCCATTGCACTCCAGCCTGGGTAACAAGAGCGAAACTCCGTCTCAAAAAAAAAAAAAAAAAAAAAAAAGGAAAAGGAGGGTAATAATGGTAACATTTACTGAGCACTTACTATGTGCTTTCATACATTCATTTCTTCAAACCTCACAATCCCAGTGCACAGACACTCGTATGATTCCCAGTTCCAGGGAGTGGGGGATGTCAGCACTAAGGGACAGAGAGGTTAAGTAACTTGTCACAAATTGAGCAAGAGATGGGGCCACAGTTCAGATCTACCCAGCCTCTTTAGCCAGTGTCTTCAACTGCTACGTGCTGCTTTGATCCTGTGGGGTCTGTGAGGGCCTTGTTCTGTATGAACTTGGAAGTTTTTTTTTTTTTTTTTTTTTTTTTTTTTTTTTTTTGAGACAGAGTTTCACTCTTGTTGCCCAGGCTGGAGTGCGATGGTGTGATCTAGGCTCACTGCAACCTCTGCCACTGGGTTTAAGTGATTCTCCTGCCTCAGCCTCCCGAATAGCTGAGAAAAAGGTGCATGCTACCACACCTGGCTAATTTTTGTATTGTTAGTAGAGATGGGATTTCACCATTTTGGCCAGGCTGATCTCAAACTCCTAACCTCAGGTGATATGCCTGCCTTAGCCTCCAAAAGTGCTGAGATTACAGACGTGAGCCACTGTGCCTCTCCTGAACTTGGAAGTATTTTCCTGCCGCAGTAGTTAAGGCATGTGATACAGGGGCCAGAATATATGTAGTGTTTGCTTTGCGTCAGGCTCTGTTAGTGCTTTACAACATAGAGTGAGTATGAACGTATTTTGCTTACTGATCAGGTTGAACTTGCCAACATTTAATCAGTTTTGACCTCTACAAATGTCAGTTTCATGCAGTTAAACCTGATTTCAGTGTTCTGTGACTTGGCATGCAACAAGTTCATGACCACTACAACTTCCTGTTGGACAGAGCTTTCGTCATTATGAGGTAGACATGTGTCCCACTGAATGCTTTTTTGCCTTGAATTTATCTGAGATATAAATACCGGTCCTTGATTTTTTTCCACTTGAATTTGCTTGCTGTATCTCTGTCTATCCTTTCATTTCTTATCTTTTCAAATATTTGTTTTAAAGGAATGATTCTCAGTCTTGACTGTACATTATAATCTCTTTAAGAGTTAAAAAAAATGTATCAACTCCTGGGTCTCACCCTTAAAAATGCCAATTTAAATTAATCTTGGCCTTATCTGGGACCATTCCCTGAGGAGTGCCATGGGGCAGCTAAGCTTAAGGTATTTCTCCTGTATAGGTTTTTTTGTTTTGTTTTGTTTTTGAGACAAGGTCTGGCTCTGTCGCCCACGCTGGAGTGCAGTGGCATGATCTCAGCTCACTGTAACCTCTGCCTCCCAGACTCAAGTGATCCTCCCACCTCAGCCTCTCGAGAAGCAGGGACTACAGGCGCACCCCACCATGCCTGGCTAGTTTTTTTGTATTTTTAGTAGAGACGATGTTTCACCATGTTGCCCAGGCTGGTCTTGAACTCCTGGCCTCAAGCGATTTGCCCACCTGGGCCTCCCAAAGGGTTGAAATTACAGGTGTGAACCACTGTAATCTAAAAACTGTGCCTGGCAGGTCTTGTTTTTGATGTTTAAAAACTCTAATAAGTACCTTTCCTTATAATAGTTGAGTATCTCATATATTTCAGATATGCTTCACCTTGTATTTACCTTTTTTCTGCTTTATATGCTTTTTAATTTTCTTACAATTGCTCTGTGAGAGGTGTTCTTTTTGATTTTTCCTTTTTTGGAATTTTGGAATCTATGTAGTTTATTTTGAGTTATTCCAGTGATTACTTGTATGACTTTAAATAATAGGCTGAAAATGACTGCTTTGAAAACTAAAAGTTTGTATGACTTCCACAGGAAAGGTGAGGAGACCAGGATACCTCTTACTCCCATATGCCTGAATATTTTCTTTCCTAGGTTCCTCAAGTGTTTTATCTGAAATTTTTTGTTTTGTTTTTGAGATGGAGTCTTGCTCTGTCACCCAGGCTGGAGTGCAGTGGCGCAATCTTGGCTCACTGAAACCTCCGCCTCCTGGGTTCAAGAGATTCTCCTGCCTCAGCCTCCCGAGTAGCTGGGATTACAGGCACCCACCACCACACCTGGCTAATTTTTGTATTTTTAGTAGAGACAGGGTTTCACCATGTTGGCCAGGCTGGTCTTGAACTCTTAACCTCAGGTGATCCCTCCACCCCAGCCTCTCAAAGTGCCGGGATTACAGGCTTGAGCCACTGCACCTGGCCTTTTTTTTTTTTTTTTTTTTTTTAACATATAGCTCACACTTTTCTTTTCAGTTCCTTTACTTATCATCATAGTCTCTTTTATTGATGTCTTCTTTCACGTTTTATGTCATTAAAAAATTTTTTAAGCATATAAAGAAATTGTTGTCCAACATCCCCTTACATTCTGAAGAAAGGCTTCTTTTTGAAGTCTGTTTTTCACCCCTCCCTTTGATATCCCAGTTCTTTTTCCTTTGCCTCATCTTCCTCTTTGGGGGCATAAGTTCCATGATGGTTTTCCTTCTCTGTTACTTTTGTGAATGGATACAATGCATTCTTTCCTATGATTCACCCGGGAAAGAGGGGGATGAATGATCCCGACTGTCTTCTCTGATCATCTGGCACGATTTGACTCCTCCTCTCCCTCTTTAACACCGAGGGCTGGATGCTGCTAATTTGTCATCTCTGCCAGTTGTTCAGTTTCTTGTGCTGACGGGAGGGAGGGCTGCCCGCGGGCAGCAGCACAGAGCATATCCGGTCTCCAGGCACTTTCCAACTCTGCTGGCTCCTCTGGACTTGGGGCAGCCTTACCTGCCTGTGAGGGCTGCCCCTTCATGCTGCTTCTTCCTATGTGGAAGGCAGAAAATTTCCTCCTCAGAGTTTCCTTTCTTGTTAAGGAATAAATCCTTCTCGCTAATAACTCTTTGTTAAGCCCTATCCTATGTAGCTGTTAGACATGTTCACAGGCACATAGTACATTCTATGTCCTTGTACTTTAAACAAGAGATCTGTGCCGGACGTGCTCACAGGCACGTCCCAGCTCGCAGCCTATGCTCCTTCCTTATGCCTTTTTTTGTTTTGTTTTGAGACGGAGTTTCGCTCTTGTTACCCAGGCTGGAGTGCAATGGCGCGATCTCGGCTCACCGCAACCTCCGCCTCCTGGGCTCAGGCAATTCTCCTGCCTCAGCCTCCTGAGTAGCTGGGATCACAGGCACGCGCCACCATGCCCAGCTAATTTTTTGTATTTTTAGTAGAGACGGGGGTTTCACCATGTTGACCAGGATGGTCTCGATCTCCTGACCTTATGATCCACCCGCCTCGGCCTCCCAAAGTGCTGGGATCACAGGCTTGAGCCACCGCGCCCGGCCTTCCTTATGCCTTTTTGCTCTCCATTGCTTTTACCTGTTTAAAAAAGTTTTATTAGGCAATCAGGTTTTAGTTTAAATTGTAAGGTCTGGCTCCAACCAATGAAAATCAGACACAGCAGTAAGAACCACCCCAAATGCGTAAGGGATAAATATATCTGCTTTTCCCTTTGTTCGTTGTACTCTCGTGGCTAGTGAAGGTACCCTTCCTGCTGGCAAGAGTACCCTTGCCAGCAGGAAGTAAAAATTGCTTTGCTGAAAAGTCCTGTGTCTCAGTGCTAATTTTTCTTTGTAGCACCGAGCATCTGTTTCCAATATCCTATTTGTGGGATTCCAGAATTTCAGGGATGCAACAGTTTCTGATAATCAGATGAGGTGAATAACTGGAACCTTAGTTGTTTTCTAGGCACTGAGAGTAGAATTAGGCAATTTTCCTTCAAATACTGTTCCCTTCGCCGGCTGTCAAAGGGAATTGTGCACATTGCTCAATGGATCCATCCCTGCTCTTCCTCCACAAAACCAGTTGACCACACCTCCCCCTGCTACCCTACCAAACCATGGGACCTAAGTCCCCAGGAACAGCTGTATGTGTAAGAGAAAGCCACTTGGAGGGGCCACTGTGCTGGGGGGTGCGGGTGCATGTGAGTCCCGGGGAGTTATCTGTACCCTCAAAGGCCACTTTCACTCAAGCCCCTGCCTGCTGGCTGACTGGGCTGCTCGCTCACACCTGGGTATTTTGCTATTTTGCACCGAGTGCCAGATTCCACATAGCTAGATCATAATGGAGCCCTGGGCAGCGGGTCCAAGCTTAGAGGCTCCCGGGCCTGACAAATCTCAGAAAGTGACAGCTACATCTAAAGCGAGAGTGACCAGGGGACAGTGTACCTGAGAGGCGAGTGAAACTGGGATCTTTAGTGGGTCTGGGGTCTGGGGAGGCAGTAGGAGCAGAGACCAGGATCAGAATCCCAGGAATTTGAGGCTGTGGGCAGGAGACAGCGAGAGGACCAGAGCTTGGGTAGAGCCATAAGCTGGGAATGAAGGGGGATGCCGGGCCAGGGCTGTGAACAGGACAGTGTCCACTAACTCAGGTACAGGATTGGCTCTCTGGGCTCTTCAACTCCCTGCAAAGTGTGGTTGCTGCAGCGTCCATCTATGAGGGCTTCTGAGGATTAAATGCGATTTGCACAGGCAGCATAAAGTCCAGACCAGTAAATGCGCACTGAACGCTAACTATAGTGACACAAGGAAAAGCTAGGAAGCAGTCTTCTTGGGAGCTGATGCTTCGGCCTGGGGGCAGATCAGGCTGGGAAGGGCTGAGGGGCCGCGGTTCCATGGCTGCGTGGAGGGAGGATAAAGGCACAGGAGACTAGAAACTTCCTTGTCGTCTGTTTTTCCAGAAATTCATCGCACAGCACACGAACCCCTTTCACACCTGGATAGGTCTCACGGACAGCGATGGCTCCTGGAAATGGGTGGATGGCACAGACTACAGTCACAACTACAAGTAAGTGGTCTCTTCCCTCCCCGCCTTGTTAGATTTCTCTGGGGACAGCCCCCTGGCCTTTCATGCCAAGCCACCCTGACTCGTCTCTCAGGGACCAAATTCTCCAGTCCTCTCTTCCCCAGACTCACAAACCCTCCAAGGCTGTGCTTTTCGGGGCTTGGGGTGAGGGTTGCTGGGACTGGGGGCAGAAGTTAGAGCCTGAGTTTTCTCTTGCCTCCTTAGGAACTGGGCTGTCACTCAGCCTGATGACTGGCACGGGCATGAGCTGGGCGAAAGTGAAGACTGTGCTGAAATCCGGCCAGACGGCCGCTGGAACGATGACTTCTGCCTGCAGGTGCACCGCTGGGTGTGTGAGAAGAAACGAAATATCACCGGCGAGGTGGCCTGACCCCAGCGCACCTCTGTCTAACCCGTGGCCCGCAGCTGCCCAGCTCTGGCTTCTCTGTTGAGGGTTTTGAAGAAAGGAAGAAAAATGGAGACAGGGGTATGGGGAAGAGCTGAGCAAAGAGAGAAAGGAGGCAGTTTGAGTCCTTGACCCTGGAGGGCGGAGATCCCACGTCCTTCCCTAATTCATTGTCATTGTTAGAATTGTCAGCCTCTTCAGTGGAGTAGGAAAAGAAGAAACAAATACTCGAATCTCTGCGTGGCTTGGTTATTTGGAACTGAGAAATGTAGCGTGCAAACGAGGGAGAGGGGAGGGCATGAAAGAGGCAAGGCATGAATCCCAGACAGCTGCTCCTTGGTCCCAAATCCTGAGGGAAACGAGAAAGGGGTTTGGAGCGGATGGGTTTGTGGCTGGCAGCAGTGGGAAAGGGGCTGGCTGGGCTGTGACTGGAGGGTCCACTTGGCTCCCAGGGCACCCAAAGGAAGCATCTTTCTCTGCGGTTGGCTTCTCCCCAGACTGGGTCACAGGGAACACCCCAGCTTCACTCTCAGCCTTCAAGGAAAATGGTCATGAGAAGAAGAAGGAGGATTGGTAAGTCGCTTTCTCACCACCATGGCTATCTCTTTTTGACCCCAAGCAGATCTAGACAAATCTCCAGCACAGGGTGTCACCAATAATCCCCACAGTGAGTAAACTAACCCCTCCAAGAACATTCTGAAACTGACCTTAAAAAGATTGCTAAGCCGGCCAGGCGTGATGGCTCATGCCTGTAATCCCAGCACTTTGGGAGGCCGAGGCGGGCAGATCACCTGGGGTCAGGAGTTCAAGACCAGCCAGACCAACATGAAGAAACCCCATCTCTACTAAAAACACAAAATTAGCCGGGCGTGGTGGCACATGTCTGTGATCCCAGCTACTTGGGAGGCTGAGGCAGGAGAATCGCTTGAGCCTGGGAGGCGGAGGTTGCAGTGAACCAAGATCGCACCATTGTACTCCTGCCTGGGCAGCAAGAGTGAAACTCCGTCTCAAAAACAAAACAAAACAGAAGACTGTTAAGCCGCTATATTTTTTTTATTTTTTAGGTTACAGAAGTAATACATTCTATTGGTAAAAAACATTTTAAATGCCACACACACATACACGCATATACATACACAGACATACGTACATACACATACACAGGTACGCACAAACACACACACGAGTGTCCTCTCAGTCCTCCCTCGTCTCCCCAGAATCCATTCTTTCATGTGTCCCATCAGAGCCCTTCCTGTGTGCACGCTTAGATGCAGTATTATATGTCATTACATAGCTGGCCTGTCCCACTTGGCAATACTTTATGGACATTGATCTAATCTATGCCATTACCTGACAGTGTTGCCTCCTTGAACTTAGCGGCTGTAGAGAATTCCAAAGTAAGGATGTGCCATAGATTATGGAATCATTTTCTGTGGCGGGCAAATGGCTGTTTTGTTTCGTTTTCCTATAGAATGTTTCAAAGTAATTTTTTGCTTGTAAGCTTGTGGTAGGTCAAGACTTCCCGGTTTTCAGTTGCAAAATTTTCTAGGATTGCCCCTTCAAAATGTACATGATTGGCATTAAATTTAAAAAATTGTGAAAATAGTCTGGGCACATTGGTTCACACCTGTAATCTCAGGATTTTGAGAGGCTGATGTGGTGGATCGCCTGAGTTGAGACTAGCCTGGGCAATATGGTGAAACCCTGTCTGTACAACACACACACACACACACACACACACACACACCCGCTGGGTGTGGTGGTACATGCCTGCAGTCCCAGTTGCTTGGGAGGCTGAGATGGAAGGCTAGTTTGAGCCCAGGAAATTGAGGCTGTAGGAAGCTGTGATTGCATCACTACACTGCAGCCTGGGTGGAGAGCGACGTCCTGTCTCAAAAAATAAATGATGGAAGTAATAATACACACACTCTAAAGTTTCATAGGGCTAGAATTTGTACAGAAAACTAAAAGTTTTATAAAGTATGTAAAACTAGAAGTATAAAGTCTCTAAGACCAGAGGTTTTACAGGGCAATCGGTCAGCTGAACGGCCCCTTTACCTTCTCTTGTCGCCTGGAGAAACTGCTTTTGGTGGTTCTAGCTGTTTCTTCTAGTACTGACATCTGCAGTTCTAAGTAAGACACACAAACTGATATTTCATCTTTTTATTAGTTGTAGACATTAGTCACTATCATGCAAATGAGGTAAAATCATCCAATTTTGTCTACAATTTGTATTTAAATACTACTTTAAAATGTGTATCAGCTGTACTGGTAACAATATTGTTCCTGCTGAGTCAACTACTATAATCTGATTACATTTCCTTTCTTGCACAACTCTTATTTCTTCTGAAATCAAAATGAAAAGTGTTCCATTTAAAAAATTTGCCTCATATTCTTAGAACTTATTGCTGAGTTTTCTTGAACTGTAAAAAGCTTGACAATATCATTTTTCCGGATGTGCAAGCCAGTCATATAATCAGTATTTTAGCTGTACTTGGTGTTCTTTTTCCTAGAGCCAGAGACATGATTCCAAGTTTTTTGGGGTCTGAGGTGTAAACAATTATTCTCTGTAAGAATAATTACAGCCGGGCGCGGTGGCTCAAGCCTGTAATCCCAGCACTTTGGGAGGCCAAGGCGGGTGGATCACGAGGTCGAGAGATCGAGACCATCCTGGTCAACATGGTGAAACCCCGTCTCTACTAAAAATACAAAAAATTAGCTGGGCATGGTGGCATGTGCCTGTAATCCCAGCTACTCAGGAGGCTGAGGCAGGAGAATTGCCTGAACCCAGGAGGCGGAGGTTGCGGTGAGCCGAGATCGCGCCATTGCACTCCAGCGTGGGTAACAAGAGAGAAACTCCATCTCAAAAAAAAAAAAAAAAAAAGAATAATTACAATATGGATATAAAATTAAGCATAAAATTACCATTTATTTAAATTAGAAAAAAATCACAAATTTAAAAAGCAGAAAGATACCTAAAACATCACAGAATATAGAATATGCTATTATATATATATATAAAAATTGTGTGTGTACGTATACATATATATGGACACACACACACACATTTTTTGAGACAAGGTCTTGCTCTGTCACCCTGGCTGGAGCTCAGTGCCACGATCATGGCTCTCTGCAGCCTCAAACACCTGGGCTGAAGGGATCCTCCCACTTCAGCCTCCCAAGTAGCTGGGACTATAGGTTCATACCACCACGCCTGGCTAATTTTTAAATTTTTAATAAAGACAGGGTCCCACTAAACTGAATTTGAGATCAGAAGGCCTTCTGAAGACCAGTTTGAACCTCCTGGTCTCAAACTCTTGTGCTGCTCAAGTGATCCACCTGCCTCAGCCTCCCAAAGCTCTGAGTTTCCATGTGGTGTTATAGGTCATTAGGCGTGAGCCAGCAGGAGAGGCTTTCCTAGCCACTAGGAATGTCAGGTGATGGTTCAGCAATGATCACATTGCCTCTCTAAAGTGATAAATTGGCAACTGGTGGTGTCAGGGAGAGGCCATTTACCGAGGGTCAACACCTGTTGCGCTAAAGTGTCGATTGGATACAGATTCCAGGGAGAAGCCACTTCCCGGGCATACACATTAAGAGACAAAATGGACCAGGTGCAGTGGCTCACGCCTGTAATCCCAGCACTTTGGGAGGCCAAGGTTGGTGGATCATGAAGTCCGGAGTTTGAGACCAGCCTGGCCAATGTGGTAAAACTCCATCTCTACTAGAAACACAAAAAATTAGCCAGGCGTGGTGGCGCCTGCCTGTAGTTCCAGCTCCTCGGGAGGCTGAGGCAGAAGAATCGCTTGAACCTGGGAGGCAGAAGTTGCAGTGAGCTGAGATTGCGCCACTGCACTCCAGCCTGGGCGACAAAATGAGGCTCTGTCTCAAAAAAAAAAAAAAAAAAAAAAAAGCCAAAATGGCTTAGTATGACCTTCTGGGGCACTCCACTGGGAAGAGGAAGAAAGCCTCAGATGAGTGTGAGTACAACTTCCTAAACCAACTGGGCGTGCTCACCTCCCCAGGGTAAGGTGGGCACATGGGGGCAGCCACCCTAAGGGACAATCAGGGGAAAGGAGCCAGCCTAGAAAGTCCCTGGATCAACGTTAAATGTCGAGCTTGTTCTTCAAGTAGCCGGCTTGGGTCTCTTCCAAATGTACTTTCCTTTCCTGTTGTAAAGCCTTTTAAAATAAGCTTCCACTCCTGCTCTGAAATTTGCCTTGGTCTCTTTTTCTGCCTTATGCCCCTCAGTCAAATTCTTCCTTCTGAAGAGGCAAGCACTGAGGTTGCTGCAGACCCGTGAGGATTCACCGCTGGTAACGTGGACGCCTGCCGCAGGTGACAGTGTGAGCCACTGCGCTGGTCCTATAATATTTTAATAATCTTTCAACATTCCTCAAAAACCGATCCCGCCCCCATTTTTTGCTGCATACTGTTTGCCTCTGCATATTACAAACTCATTTTCTCTTTCTTTTCTTTCTTTCTTTTTTTTTTTTTTGAGACAGAGTCTCGCCCTGTTGCCCAGGTTGGAGCACGGTGGTGCAATCTCCGCTTACTGCAGCCTTCGCCCCCCGAGTTCCAGTGATTGTCCTCACTCAGCCTCCTGAGTGGCTGGTATTACAGGCACCTGCCTTCACACCTGGCCAGTTTTGGATTTTTAGTAGAGATGGTGTTTCACCATGTTAGCCAGGCTGGTCTTGAACTCTGGATCTCCAGTGATCCACCTGCCTAAGCCTCCCATAGTGCTGGGATTACAGGTGTGAGCCACTGTGCCTGGCCTTCTCATTTTCTAATTGAGATTTTTTTTTTTTTTCTTTTTTGAGACGGAGTTTCACTCGTTACCCAGGCTGGAGTGCAATGGCGCGATCTCTGCTCACCGCAACCTCCGCCTCCTGGGTTCAGGCAATTCTCCTGCCTCAGCCTCCTGAGTAGCTGGGATTACAGGCATGTGCCACCATGCCCAGCTAATTTTTTGTATTTTTAGTAGAGACGGGGTTTCACCATGTTGACCAGGATGGTCTCGATCTCTCGACCTCGTGATCCACCCGCCTCAGCCTCCCAAAGTGCTAGGATTACAGGCTTGAGCCACCGCGCCCGGCTTTTTTTTTTTTTTTTTTTTAACTGTTGAGTTTTGGTAAGTCATTGCATATTCTAGGCACTAACCCTTTGTTGGACATGTGGTTTGCAAATATTTTCTACAAGTCTGTAGCTTGTCATTTTATCGTCTTAACAAAAAC